CTCGTTTGACAGCCGGTTCCGTAACGACAGTCCTTACCGGGTCCGTTTGTGAAGTTTAGAAGAGGACAAACACATAGACGACCGACCAACCGCCGTCGCCTTCGAATGGAGCCACCACGGCGACACCCTAGATTTCAGAGCCACGCCTCTCTTCCCGCCCCTACGTCAGCGCCCGGGCTTCTGATTGGCCGACCGCGCCGTTTTTCAAATCGATCTCGGACGCTGATTGGACGGAGCTCAACGCGTCCGGTCCGGATACTCTGACGTAGCTTTTCGGGGAGGGCGAATGCAGCTGGCGCAGCCCAGAACCTGGCCCGTGAACGACACTCCGTGGCCCGACAGCTAGTTTCCGTCCCGGACTAGCGTTGCGGGGTGTGATTGGATCACCGTGACGAATCCAGATGTTTAGTCAAACACGGTGACGTCAGTCCGGGCGTGTCGCTTTTAGAGCATTTCCAAATGACAATGAATATAAGTTATCCGCTGACGATGCTGAAACGTGGTACTTTTCAAGACACACGAACATGTGCAAACCCATGCTTACTCAGTGTATATATATATTTTTTAATATGTTTTACGTTTTAGGCTACATTTAGGCCTATTCATTTTTGTTGACGCTTTAATCCAAGTTGAACAAACTTTATTTAGGCCTATTGATTGATTTTATTTTATTTCTTATTGCCCGTGTAAGTTTGTGTAATTGTTATTAACTGCAATGTATGTTTAAGGTGTTTACGTATTATTTCTCGTTTTAGCTATGCCATGTGATCCCATGTTCTTCTTTTCTCCCTACCCAGGGACTAGATGAAATTTAGCTCTAATCTGGAGTAGTCTATAGTCTGTTTAAATAAACTTTTAAATAAATTAATACAATTTGTATATAGCAAACATTTCCATGGTTCACTGCCAATGTAATAAAACATTTTTATCATTATGTGCTCACATGACAACAAACATTTTTTGGTGGTATTCACCAAATTACTGTTAAACACAATAACTGTTTTGAAGCATGAATTAAATGTTTTGGGTGACACATTTTGCAGACCTAAAATAGTTTTTGCCCATTTAAAGTTTAGAATGTTACACTTTTTTTTATTCCGCTTTGGTACGTTAAGTGTAAACTTTTTCACAGATCATCAAAAGTGACTTTTTTCACACATTTCATTATGTTTTCAATTGCATTAGTACAATGCACAAGCTCACAAAGTATCCTTTTCACTATACCCACAACAAGTGTTTCATCTACATTAAAGTTTCATTCACAGTAACTGCCTTTCATAAAGATATACTATCAAACTTTTGAATTGCATCTCTTCTTGTTCAATTTGTCTATTATTTAATTCATCTTAATGGTTAACCATTGAATCATTTGGTGCATCTAGATTTCTATATTGATTCAATACACCGTTTCTGTAGAACTTGTTTGCAATTTCCAATATGAATGATCAAATTTAATGATTAGCGATTAATAGATAATAACCCCCACTGTGTTCATAGTGTGTGCACACGCATGCATGTGTGTGTGTGTGTGTGTGTGTACAGGAGAATGACTGTATTGATCAGAGATGCATCAGTAGAAGGGAGACAGATGGCATCAAATACAGCATTTTACTTTACATACTGTAAACAGATTACAGAGATAGAGACTGCCACATTACTGTAACTCACCCTTCATCTGCGAAGGTCAATTACAGTATAGATTCAGTCATATAGAGTGAAATCATTTACTGGATTGCCAGCTCTGTTCTAGCACAGAAACGCATGCTGTGTTACTTCACACCTTTTGACAAGATACTTTTACAAACATATACGTGTATTTCCTAATGTGGCAACTGTATCCTGTATTACATAATTCAGAAACAAGGGTGATTTGAATCATCTTGCATTGTTTGCTGTTGAATGAACTGATTTTTAAAAGTGCTAAATTGAAAGTGTAACTGTATTGAAAGCAGGTTTAGAAAGAATGACTCCGTGTTACAAGAGTTTTGAAAATGCACACCTTACTTGTGAAAATAGTACCAAAGCGAATTTAAAAAACAGCAAAAGAACCATTTGTTTGTGTGAAGAACATTTTCAAAACTCTGAGAACCTTTTTTTTTCACTGAATGGAATGTTAAGATTCCATGATGAGGTTCTTCATAGAACCATACAAGTAAAGAACTTTTATTTTTAAGAGTGTGATGCCAAGTGTATCCCAAATGGAGAATAAATCAAAATGCCCCATTTAGACTGTGGGTAAAAGAATGGGGGAAAGAGAACACAAACTAAGTTGGAATGAGTCCTGCTCTCGTCTTGTGCGATTCGGAGAGTCTGGCTGTTGTTTGTGAGTCATTGGGCAACATTTTCCCATAATGCAGTAAACATGAAGAAACCTGCTGGAGGTTTAATATTCCTTCATATCTGTCAATGAGTCATTGTTTCCAAACTGTCCCGCTCCACACCGCATGAATCTGGAATATCACAGGAATTTGTGTTTGCTCGGATGTTTCAGTTTTTATTCGATTTTGCCATATGTGAACTTTTAAATAGCCCAGTTCTCGCTCTCAGGATTCTTCTTCGCCTCATTCGACTGGTTTTAAGTAGTCTGACAGTCTTGAACACACACTGACAGTCAGCAGAGGCGTAGTTGAGGGCTGTAAGTCAATCTGAGTCACCGTGGAGTTAAACATCTGGTTCTGTTAAATACACCGGATGTCATTCAGAGTTTGAGTCACGTTGTGTCATCTGATAGTTTAAAATCGAACAGAATTGAACATCTCTTTAACATGTAAATTAAAATCATTCAAAAATTAAATAACATTTAATCGTTCAGATACATCATTTACACATATATATATATATATAGAAAATTGCAGAGCCTTACAAATGTGGAAGTTACAGAATACTAAACTTCTTTCCTTTCAGCTTGAATACATAGGCCTACATGTTTTTGTCCAGAAGTTTAAGATAGAGTATGTTGAATCATCATGAATGTTGGCCTCTTATACAGCTAAAAGCATCATCTTGAGAAGAAGCATCATCACAGGCACCGCTATCAGCTTTTTCTTCAATTTAGGGTGGATTGATTTCATCCAAGATGTTTCACTAAGTGCTTTGGCTTCCCTCTGATAGATTACACGGTTAAACCTTCTTCCCTCGAGCTGGGCTGATCATAATCTCAGACACTCAGGCTATAGGCCTATTAGTGCTCGAAGCATCCTCTGCATGGGTCTCTCTCTTGACTCTTGAGAAGCATAAAATCATTTATCACAGTACTAATGAATTTTAAAAAGGTAATGTTTGAAGCCTCTTGTGGTTGAAAAAAAAAAATATATATATATATATATTTACATTATTAATTCACTAGATGGCGCCATTGATGCACAAACAAGACCACAGAAGGAATCTGATTTTTTACAGTTTTTTTATTGACATTTTTCTCAATACTTAGGTCACTTTTTCAAAACTCACAGTTCTTTTAAACAACTTCAAGCTTGGCACAGCAGTTAATTTCACATTCAAAAAACTACCAAAACCCTTTATTAATGCCTCAAATCAAATCATTCGGTTTTCACCTAACAAACACTTGTCACTTTATACGCATTGTATCCGTTTTCTTTTGTAAAGTTTCTTTACAACAATGAGCAATCTGCTAGATGGTAAAGCTACATATAATAGTTTTGATAGTATTTCATTTTTGACATTCAGAATATTTTTCAATGTTGCATTAAGCGAATTGCAGTTTTATTTAATTTTGTATTATGTAGGTTTTGAACTTAAGTCAAACTGTTTTGAAAAGAGTTTACGCATGTGCAAATTGTTTTGCTGGTGTTTGGCGGAGTAAGAAAAATGTATATATATATATATATATATATATATATATATATATGAAGAGTTCAGATGCAAAAGCCTCTAAATGCCATTTGAAATTTTGTTCTAAAATTATCATTTTATCAAGCTTGTATATTTAAGTTCAGTAATTTCACTTAAATGGCAATGAAGATTACCTATTAATTGTCATTTAAGTGAAATTACTGAACTTACACAAGCTTGATAAAATTGTCATTCTAGAAGAAAATTTCAAATGGCACCCAGAGGCTTTTGCATCTGAACTCTTCATATATATATATATATATATATATATATATATATATATATATATATATATATATATATTATTTTTTTCATTTTGTGCCAAAGCAATGATGAATGATCCACAGTTTAGCTCACGTTGACTGATACTGTGATGATTACTGTGTGAAGAGTTTTGAAATTAATGTAGGCTAAATAAATAAAATAAAATAAATGAAATGAAATAAAATGTGTGTGTGTGTGTTGCCATGTTCACCCTTTATAGATGTTTTTTTATGAGAAGGTTTTCAGCTTATATTTCCTTATAATATTATATTGTTACCGGTATATAATATTGGGTGTATATATATGGGTATATAATGTTGTTTTAATTTATATTTATATTCATTTTTTATTCTTTCTAATCATGTTAAGTGTTAATAGAATGTTCTCCAAAGCTTTAGTTGAGTTTTTAGTGAATCAAACTAAATTCAGCCTGTGGTTTTAATGAATGAAACAATAGCTAGTTAAGTTAAGTGTTATTTTTTTATTGTTCATTATGTTTTAAATATAGGTATATAGTGGTTGGAGGCAATTACTGGATCTATTCGAATTTATGAATTAGTAAAATGAGTGTGAACACATAAGAATTGTACTGACTTTATTTCAGTTGAGATCTAAAATTTTCATATTATTTGTTAACAGAATGCTGAGGGAAGTCATTTCTAAAATAACCGCATTTATTAAAATCTCATAATAGATTTGGAACAGCTATAAGGTTAGTGGCAATTATCATTTAGGAAACAGACCTTTTCAAATCTCAAGAATTAAGATAAGAAGTTTCTGTAATAAAGCAGAGCCGCAATTCCTAAAAATCTCCATCCCTTCAGATTGCTTGGTTCTCATGCGAGATCTGGCAACCCTTGTGTGTGTGTGTGTGTGTGTGTGTGTGTGTTTGGGCAGGGCTGCAGTGAAGCGCAGCTGATGTGTGTGTGTGTGTGTGTGTGATTCTCTGCCAGACGCGCGCTTGTATTTTGGATCTTGTGTTTTCAGTGGATATCGGTGAGATATTTCGAGCTTATGATTTCATGACGGAAACGCGTTTATCTTTTATTCATTTGAGGAGACCGCAGAGATTTGCGACGTGACTGACATTATGCGCTCGGAAACCGGGGGATGCTGATGCTGACATTCCCATCTTCCACCGTCCTTCTGGTTTAACGGGCATTACTGCGCTCATTCGTTAGTGATCCACTCATCTCAGACGGGAGTCGATATGTCCATGAAGGCAAAGACCGGCGAGGCGGTGAAGGTGGTGGTTCGGTGTCGCCCGATCAACCGCAAAGAGGAATCGACGGGCTACGAGAATATCGTGCAGATGGATGTGAAACTGGGCCAGGTGGCCCTGCGGAACCACAAGGCGGGTCCGGGAGAGCTCCTCAAGACCTTCACGTTCGATGCGGTTTACGACGCGTGCTCCAAACAGAGCGACCTGTACGACGAGACGGTCCGGCCGCTCATCGACTCGGTTCTGCGCGGGTTTAACGGCACCATCTTCGCGTACGGACAGACGGGAACCGGGAAAACGTACACCATGCAAGGCCAGTGGCAGGACCCCGAGCGCCGCGGCATCATCCCGAACTCGTTCGAGCACATCTTCACGCACATCTCGCGCTCTCAGAACCAGCAGTACCTGGTCCGGGCCTCGTATTTGGAGATCTACCAGGAGGAGATCCGTGACCTGCTCACCAAAGACCACAGCAAGAAGCTGGAGCTTAAGGAGAGCGCAGACTCAGGGGTTTACATCAAAGATCTGTCCTCCTTCGTCACCAAGAACGTGAAGGAGATCGAGCACGTGATGAACGTGGGGAACCAGACCAGATCGGTGGGCTTCACCAACATGAACGAGCACAGCTCGAGGTCACACGCCATCTTCATCATCACGGTGGAGTGCAGCCAGCTCGGGCCTGACGGACAGAACCACATCCGCGTGGGAAAACTCAACCTGGTGGACCTGGCGGGCAGCGAGCGGCAGACCAAGACGGGCGTGCAGGGCGAGCGTCTGAAGGAGGCCACCAAGATCAACCTGTCCCTCTCCGCCCTGGGGAACGTCATCTCTGCGCTGGTGGACGGGAGGAGCTCTCACGTGCCCTACCGCGACTCCAAACTCACCCGCTTGCTGCAGGACTCGCTCGGGGGGAACGCCAAGACCATCATGGTGGCCACGCTGGGACCGGCCTCCTACAATTACGAGGAGACCCTGACCACCCTGCGTTACGCCAACCGAGCCAAGAACATCAAGAACAAGCCTCGTGTCAACGAAGACCCCAAAGACGCGCTCCTGAGGGAGTTCCAGGAGGAGATCGCCCGGCTCAAAGCACAGCTGGATAAACGCGGTATGCTCACCAAGAGGAAGAGGAGGAGCAGGAGGCTGAGGAAGATTGGAGAAGGCGGAGAGGAAGAGGTAGAAGAGGACGATGATGTTGAAGATGATGATGATGAGGATGAGGAAAGTGTGGAGAAGGAGGCGCAGGACTACATGAAGGAGCAGCAGGAGAAGCTGGAGAGGGAGAAGGAGGCCATCAGAGATGATCACACGCTGGTGGCGGAGGACAAACTGAGACTCCTGGAGGAGAAAGAGAAGATGATGAAACATCTGAAGAAGGAGCAGGAGGCCACTGAACTCCTCACAGCCAAGTTTAAGGTCCGTATATGCTTGAAGATTGTGTGTTTAATGAGTTTAAATTGCATATTACAATTCAAGTTCTAGATACACTCTCAGAAAAAAAAAGGTCCAAAAGCTGTCACTGGGGCTGTACCTTTTCAAAATGTACACTTTTGTACCTAAAGGGTGCATATTGGTACCTTAATGGTACATATTAGCACATAAAAAGTACATAATAGCACCTAAAATTAGCACCTAAATGTACATAATAGCATCTAAAAATGTACATGTCATATTAGCATCTAAAAATGTACATATTAGCACCTAAATATACATAATAGCACCTAAAATGTACATATTAGCACCGAAATGTACATAATAGCTCCTAAAATGAACATATTAGCACCTAAATGTACATAATAGCATCTAAACATGTACATATTAGCACTTAAATGTACATAATAGCACCTACATTTACATAATAGCACCTAAATGTACATAATAGCACCTAAAATTTACATAATTGCACCATAATGTACATATTGGCACCGGAATGTACATAATATCTCCTAAAATGAACATATTAGCACCTAAATGTACATAATAGCATCTAAACATGTACATATTAGCACTTAAATGTATATAATAGCACCTACATTTACATAATAGCACCTAAATGTACATAATAGCACCTAAAAATTTACATAATTGCACCGGCTTAATGTACATAATAGCATCTAAAAATGTGCATATTAGCACCTAAATGTACATAATAGCACCTAAAA